GCATGCACAGGATGAGTCACATCATTTGAAACTTAGCCCTGATTGGAGAAATTGGAAGTGTTACAACTGACCCACATTACAACTATCCCCGGTCTCCCCTACATGTGTTGATCAGTTCTTATTTCATGTGGCTATTAACTAGTCTGTTACCTCAGATCTTATAATGCTCAGGTTACTGATGCAAATAAGTAATTGTCTGTATGCAGAAAACAAACATCAGGAGCAATAGTCACAATCACTGTGAAGGTTTCCCAAACAACAGCTAAAGAAGACCACCTGCTTTTATTTTGAAGTTCTTAAACAGGTTAGTATGCCTTTATGTTTTTGGAGAAAAAAAAAAATCACAGTTACCACAGAATCCAAAGAAAATTAACAATGGTGAGTGCATCATGATTCATTCTGTCTTGCTGCTGTAAGAGGTGTTATATGTGTAACAGCTTTACCATTCTAATAATGTTTACAGTGGGCCTTAACTGCTTTATTTTTTAAAGAGCTATGCAAAATCTGTCTAAAGAAAATTTCAACCTCCTAGCATACACCAGCTCATTGTTGACCCACCTATGGTTAAGAGTTTTTGGTTTGGTTAATGTCCACCACGTTTCTTGGTTGTGGCTCAAAAGTTGGGAGGTCGCCTTGCAATCGGAAGGTTGCCGGTTCGAGCCCTGGCTTGGACAGTCTCGGTCGTTGTGTCCTTGGGCATGACACTTCACCCGTTGCCAGGTGGTGGTCAGAGGGCCCGGTGGCGCCAGTGTCCGTCAGCCTCGCCTCTGTCAGTGCGCCCCAGGGTGGCTGTGGCTACAGTACAATGTAGCTTGCCATCACCGGTGGGTGACTGGATGTGTAAAGCGCTTTGGGGTCCTTAAGGACTAGTAAAGCGCTATACAAATACAGGCCATTTACCATTTTTATAGAATTTTCACCTGAATGGGAAACCCCAAATGAACCAAAAAGAAATGTATTACACCTCATCAACGGTGGTTGAAATAAAACCAAACCCATGAGTTATCATGATGGATTACCGGTGACCTGGTGGATGTTAACAGGTTAAACTTTTTTCCTTGCCTTATGAATTAGTTTGTTTTTCTGTTTGTTTATTGTGAATTATATGGTTACTTTTAGACTTTTTTAAATGCATTTTTAAGGATCATTGTCTTTATCCTTTAATAATCTCCTGTTACACACTGCCTATTTTTAAACAATTTGTTATACAAAATAAAACTACATAACCATCAAGTTGAGTGTTTTTTTGTTGTTACTGGTTTATTGTGCGAAGACAAAAGTCAGTTTTACAAAATGATAGCATCCCCACATGTAAGGCACAGGACACACAAATCATGACAAACTGGCTTTATGTTAACTAATTTTCACCACAAGTCAAATTTTTATGTTTAGAGGTTGTTGATTACAAGGCACAAACACAAAAATAATTTAAACTACAATTTGCCACAATATTAGCATCTGACATCCTGAGAATTAACCTTCAAACCATGAAGAAGGTTTAAGCACCATTACTAGTATATCTTGTGTGCGTTTTTACAGAAAATACTATGAAGTTGTATTTGTTTCAACATTTGGTGCAAGTTAATTTATTGCTAGACAGTATTTAAAATAGGCAGGAGAGGCACAGTGTGAACAACAAGACAAAAATATCCATACTATATGATACAATATGGATTTATAACTGTAGCAAACTAAATGTAACTACTTCAGTGAGAAGTTTGACGCCGGGTTTTCAGTGCATTCAGTGGTAAGCCAAACGAGGACAATGAAACATTAACGTCCTGCTCGAAACAGCGGAAGCAAAGAGTATGATAGATTTCCGTTCTTCAGCTGCTCGGTGGAAAAACAGGGCGCGGTAAGTGACACAGAGTCAGCTAAACAGTAACGGGGAAGGTCAAGGAACGGTTAAAAACAATAAAAAAAAAAACATGGTTAGAGATGCCACGAAGTAGGTGGCAATGCCTTAACCGTATGTGTGTTGCAGGCCACTAGGGCCAATTCCATCCTTGTCAAGGGGAGTGCTAACCTTCTCTCCTTTCATACAACACACCCTCCCAAAAGCAGGACGTCGTCATATATACCCGCGAGGACACAGCTTGGTTTCACTCACGGTGTCACTTCCAAACTTTAGTCTAATTGAAAAGGTCGAATATTCGTGGTTTTCTTCAAACGAGTGGTTCACTATTTATGTTTTCTCTGTTTTCAGTTACATTCGATATTTATGTTTTCAATTGGTTGCAACTCTACCCACACTGCACTGCGGTAGGAAGCCGTCCCCGCATTGGTAGATGCAGTCACGTGATTGTAACATTCGCTATAAAGACATTTAAAGCATTACTTTTATGGATTTGGCTTGCCCCATGTGGCACTGGATTGTTCACACGTTTAATATCCTTTTTGTATTGTGAGAGGCGGAATTTGGGGAAGTTCTTATGAAACAGACGTAAATTTAGTGATGTAGCTCCTCTTTTAACCACAAGATGGCAGCCAGGGGCTGTTCTTGACCTAACTGAAGAGCTTAAAACTAGTTCTTAAAAAAAAAAAAAAAAATGTTCTTAACAAATTATAGATTAAAGTCAAGAACCACCCCATTATTTAGTTTTCAAATTTCTCAGTTTGAAAAAAGTAATAAAGTTGGATGTTAGGGAAAAAAAGTTGTAAACTAGTTTTGTGGAAGCATTCCACAGCACAAATCCTCCATTTCATTTCCCTACACCAGTTTTAACCTCAACTGTATTAATCCCTCAAAACCATTTAAATGGGATACTTTCAATTGCGAAGTACCAAATGCAAACAAGCAAAATAAGCGTATATATCATTTACACTGTGTACATGATTACCTTAAAACCCTTGAAAATATATAGTGTGTTGTGCTTTGGTAAAAGCAACAAGAGCAGAACAACTGAAGAAGACTCCCTTTACTTTATGAGGCTTTCCTCAGTGTACCATATAAGAACTTCTTGAGCTTTTCTTTTCAGTCCAAGAGCAGCCATCCCAAGTGCCTGGCTTCCTCCAGTCACTTTAGCTTCTACACAATAAGAAAGAAATAAAAATTACCTCTGGAAAAGTGAAAATTGTTTTCACACTATTAAAATGAGCATTTATATAATCCTGACTATATAAAATGAAGTCATGTGAAAAATTTGGGAGAAAAAAAGTTTACCACTGTAGTAATAGAAGAAAGCCATTCCCACTACAAAAGTGAAACAGCCCATAAAGAAGAGGGGACCTGCAAAACAGGAAGCACATAAAAAATTAGGCATCATGTCAGTGCTAAATAATTAGATACAAGTTTTGCCTTGAATAGTTTTGTCACAGTTTTGAAAGTTATTTTTTAAACATGTGTAAAGCCCTCATAGCTTAAAAGCATCATCACTGTTTATGTTTTATAGTTTTGTTTCTTAGTTATATACATAAATAAATTACTCTGTATATTACATGGCACACATGCTGGCACTAATTCTTTACTCTCCCTCCAAATCTTACCTCTGTCATTCAAAGCATGTCTCTGTTTGATGACCTGTGGAAGTTTGAGCGGATCCAAGGAATCTGGAAGCAGGATGGAATAAAATGTAAAATATGCCTACATATATAACCACAATTACTCCCCATAACCTCCAAAAAAACTGATATGTATGAAAGTGGTATGATATGAGTATAAGCCATTTCAGAGACGAACCTCTGAGGTGAAGCCTTGTAGGCAAACTGTAGTAGACCTCCTCAACATGCAAGTGAAGCGCCCTGTAAAATTCCCTGCATGCTTCCTCTCCTTTCCCTTGTAGGTGTGTCAAGAGCTCACCCAGTCGAACACTTGTGGGTACATCCAAGTTTCGGAACTGGACAACAGTTAACAACAGATATTATTTGTTAATCTTACACTGAAATCATTCACTATGGTGTTTTAACCTCAAGATTTTCAGAACCGTGAATGCTTTCCAGGTGTCTGTATAGGAATATTTTCACTTGAAGCGATGGGACATAAATAAATACATTTATTACTGGAATTTAAACTAGTTTATGTAAGCGTGCCTGCTGAAATACAATATTAAAGGCACCTGATGATGCTTGAGCATTTTAATTTTATGCAGCTTCACGCTTTTCTTTCTTTACTCCTGCTATCCTGTTGACTATGGTTCCATTTTCAGAATGAGGTTCTGAAAATCTGCAATCACTACAATTATAACAACTCTCCAAACCCCCTTTCTTTCTTCTTCTTCTTCTTCTTTTTAAACCACAGACCTGACAACTTTTTTATAACTGAGCATGAACAAAAAACATCCGTTATTGTGATGTATTTCCAATCAGCGCACACTTTAATGATCTTTGAACACAGCAGCTTTAACCAGACATTAACACCTCCACGTATATATCACAGTAAGGAAAGATGAAACTGTGATACAGGTATGCAGATGTTTCAATAGTGGTTTTGGTCTGGGTTTCTAGATTGCTACACCCCTAGCAACCACTGCATAAACCATAGCAGCTACCATAAACAGCTATAGCGAAACCAAATGCTGCATGCAAGTGATCAAACTAGTAATAACAGCATAGTTTATACAGCTTGTGAGCTCATGGCCATTCTGTTGCTGTTTGACTGGTTTTATTATGCACTTGCAACTACACTAATAAACACCGCAGTGTATTTCTAGAGCAGTACAACTTCGATTTTTTTAACATTGTTTTACTTGAATGTTATTCCGTTGCACCACTGTCAGTATGCGTATGCCACAGAGACAGTAAAAGGCTGCTGAGGAGGACTCACTTTGGTTGCCTCCTTGTCAGTGAGGATCTGCGGGTAGATTCTGTTGAGCTGCAGGATGAGTTTATCCACGACTTCTGTGTCCAGTCTCGGGTCATGTTTGAGGAAGGTGCTGTCCTCTGTGAGCTGCTCACAAAAACTGTCTGTCGGTGTAAACGGAGGCGTTAAACCCATTCGTTATATGGGCAGTTGTTTGTCAACAGGCTAGCATTTTTCTTTGGAAGGGTACGTAAGTAGGCAGTGGTTTACTCATAGAAAAGAAACGTTAAAGCCAGTTATTTTCTCTCTCTCGAAACTTTAGCAAGAGTAGAGTATGAGGCGTGGCGAAGTTAAGAAACTTCAAAGTCCCGAACATGACTTGGAATGAGACGTTACATTATCTTTGGCAAAGCGCAAACTTCAGCTTGCTACTGCTGTCGTAATATTGGTCACTCCAAGCTAATCGGGTCATATTATAGCAAAACTGAGGGCTAGATAATGTAGAATAAGCGTTATTTGTTATTTTAGGTAAAGAAATACACAAACCTCCCATTGCAGAGTCCCCCTGTGCCCTCTGTTGGACACGCCCGCTGACGTCATGCCGCCGGCAGGGATGGGCTTACGTCAACGTCTCCCATTAAGGAAAAAGAACCTTTTTCAGCGCAAAGACTTTATACAATGCAGCTTTTGCTGTAACTAATTAGACCTGTAACAACTTTATTTGGATCTATTTGTATCATAATTGATGTATATTTTTTATGTGTATACACATAAGTGCAAAATGAGAGCTCTATGTAAAACCACCTAGTTTCACTTAATGTTAATAGCGTAAATAATGTTGCTAATGTTAGATGTGATATAGTCCATCACTGACCAATGAGTCATTCAAGCATAAAATGGGTATCCGAACTCAAGGGAGGAAGCAGCATTGTGTTTACACTAACATGTCAAATAACCAATTTTAAATAGTATTTGCAGGTACTTTGCTACTAGCTGGAAAAACACGTTTCTTTTCCATTTCCTTTGGTAAATATAAGAAAAATGCAGAAGATAACATAGTTTGACAACCACAAAATACCATTTTGCACCAACATGTGATTCCCACAGAGCTATTAGCTTAATAAATCTGAGGAAGCTGGACAAAGTGAGGAAAAACTATTTACAGCAGATGAACAGTATCTTGAAGTCATGTCCTTAGGAATTTGGGAAAAATCCAGCAGAGACCTGACACAGGACCTGAGAGCTACACCTGGCCCTTCAGTTTATTCTTCTGCTGTTCACTGAAGCCTCAATTGCATGAGAGCTCATTTTGCCTTATATACTTATATTTACATGTATGTTTGCAGATGTTTCCTTGAAAAATATAAAGACATGAGTTAAAAAAATAAAAATAAAAAACCATCAGAATTGTAAAAGTTAGATTTATTTCTTCACCAGACATACTCTAGCAGGAAGCAGTGACAGGATCTTACAATTAGGATTTTTGCTTGTGTTTTTTTTTTTCATTTCAGTACTTTTTTTAAGCCTCAACCTGCCAGCTAAATGCACACTCCCTTATGAAATAAAAAGGATTTCAAATCCTGTAGTCTGAATGAACTGAGACAAATAAATACAATTACAGTTATAGTAAAAACTGCAATCAATTAGGACCAATAATGTGAGCAACAAGATGTAAAATATTATTATATAGCACAAACACTTAGGGTTCTCTTTTGTTGTCATGTCTGAATGTGGCACTTGTATAAAGAAAAAACACACAATGGCACTGCAGACTTATTTGAAAAGCTTTACAAAAAAAATTGTATTAAAACAGTAACTTTAAAAATTCTTTATCATGAATAGAGTTTATGAATACTATACATCTGACCTTAACTTATAAATCCTTAAATAAGATTTGCATTTTTATTCTTTTTCCAGACATAACGAGCATACTTTTAATTTGTAACCGCTCTGCTTTATCTGTTAGGAACATAGTGATACACAATGTAGTTAAGATCCCGTATTTGAAGCTTCATATTTCCAGGATCATAGAGTTATGACAATACAGCACGACAGAAGACACGGTTGTCAAGAATTCTGGCTGTCAGTATGTGTCAAATACTAAATCTAAGGCCAACAGACATCAAAATCAGAGACTTACTTGTGGCTTTAAAAGCAATCTGTGACTTTGTTGCTATGAAATAAATAAGGTTAAAGGTATGTTGGAAGACAAGCATGCACACAGAGTACAAACATTACACAATACTTGAAACAGTTAGCATCATTTTAGAAAGTAGAATAAGCTTGGAGCAAATACGTGAAACAGAAAAGTGCTAAGTCAGTCAGGCGTTAAGTAACCAACCAAACACCCATTGTGACTATTCCACCGGTTGAGTAATCATAGTGGTTCATATTTTGGAAGACTGATGGACTGCACCGGGTAGCTGGTGTGTTATTTTCTGCAGTTTTCATAGAATTTGATGCCATTTTAAATAGCTGTTCTGGCACTCTAAAACAAGGCTCTTGGCTAATACTGTTTGATATATTCTCGTCTTAGTAGTGACACGATATGGCGTGTGATTGAGAGTGGAGAAACCAGGAGAGCAGACAACTGGCCACCGACGTGCATAACCTGACGGAGCTCGTTAAGGACACTTGGCTTCATGAGTTTACTGCAAAGACAAAAGAGAAAAAAATGAAATTAATTTCAGTTTCTCCTGCATTAAGTGAGATGCACAACAAAGGTGTTGGGTGTGCTTTGCATGCAGGGTTCAGACATGAATCACCAATAGACTTTTAGGCTACTACAGGGGACAAGTTCTTCCTCTTTCCACATTACACCTGCTTATACTTCGTCAAAAGAAACAAATAACTCAATGCTGAATATCGAGACCTACCAGTAAAAGAAAGAGTTATTCTGACCCAAATTATTATTTTTTTTACATTTTGAAAACATCTAGAAGAGCTGGCCTTCGCTGAAATTTTGTGCCTTAGAGGTCGTTCTGCATTACAGCTCGTGACTTACACTGCGGCTGGAAGAGGCTCCCTTGCCCTTCGTTTTGGCCTTGCCTCCCACTGTTGTGGTGCTGTTGCGGCGTGCTTGTTCGTGGTCAAACTCCAAATCCTCTAGGCGCTGAGTTAATGCGAGTTTTTGCTGAATGGCCATACGTAACAAAGAGTTCAGCGTCTTCTTTTCATCCTCAGCAGCAGCCAGCTGCCTCTGCATGTCATCCAGCTGTGTAACATACTCATCACACCTGAGAGGAGAGGAGAGGAGAGGAGAGGAGAGGA